AATTCGCTGCTCCTGCATTCGGAAACTCGTTGTCTATAGTCTGTGGTGATTTTAATTCATGTGATCACAGCTTTCTTACCCCACTTGGTCATGAGAATCTAGTCAAGTTTAACACACGTCTGGACAAATCATTAGACCTGGTTTTCATAAACGACCGTGATGTATATGAAACCCGAAGGAGAGCTCCTTTGCTAAACTCTGACCACTGCATTATTCGTATCTTACCGAAAGTGTACGGCAAGTTACAATAAAAATTGTTTAGTCATTTAACAAAGAAGATACATGAACTTTCATATTCCCATGACAACATTCTAGCACTAAGAAGCATGTTGTATGATACCAGCTGGGAACTATTTACTGACGATAAGTTGGATGCTACTGTCCCTAATATAACCGATTATCTGAAGTTTTGTTTGGATATTCGCTGTCCATATGAAACACTGTTTTCGAGATTTGACGGAATCTCTTCTTTGCAGCTGAAAAAACTTAGAAGACTAAAAGAGAAGTTGTATAAGAATAGTGATAATACTGGTGTCCGTAAAATAAACACCCTTATAAAAATTGAAATAGAAAGGTTGAACAGACTATATAATGAAAAATTTTTATCATGCAGAAAATCCTTCAAGCATTTGGAAACTTTTCAATAAACTTACAAGTAAAATACAAATGTCTGTTGATGCTTATTCTGATGTTAATGCTTTAAACAAATCATTTATCATGAAACAAATTAGTATGCCTGTAACTGATGTACCTAGTCAAGATAATGGTCATTTTCCGGGTTTTAAAGAAGAGGATGTACTACTATGTTTGAAATCTTTAAATCCAACACACAGCCTTGGTCCAGATGGCGTACCAGGCATTCTTCTTCAAAAGTGTGCAGACATCATGTATCATCCTCTTAATCAAATCTTTAATGCATCATTTAACAAAGAAACGGTACCTACTGACTGGAAAGAAATCAAGGTTGTACCTGAACAGAAATCATCATCTGGAGCAGGTATAAAGTTTAGACCGGTCGCTATAACATCTCCTTTTTTGAAAACTATGGAGAAACTTCTTTTGAATACTCTTAAACCTTCTTTAAAAGCTTTTAGTGACCCTAAGCAGTTTGCTTATAAGTGTGGAAGAAGTACATTAGATGCAGCTATTGTACTACAACACAATATTGTTTCCTGCCTTGATAAAGGTGCTAAGTTCGTTCGAACAGCTTTTTTAGACTATACTGCAGCTTTCGACTCTGTTCCTAGGACACTTTTATTAGGAAAGATGATTTCAGCACAGACAGAGTCCTGGGCAACTAGATGGTTGTCTTCTTATTTTAAGGATAGGAAACAGCATACTGTTTTGGCTGGAAAGCGCTCCACTTCTCAGCTAACTGAAAGTGGTGTGCCTCAAGGTGCAGTACTTTCTCCATTTCTTTTCTCTTTCTTTTTGCATGATCTTCCGAACTCACCCAAAGTTAACTTCATTAAGTATGCTGATGGTCTGACCGTTTCTGTCCCTGTAGTTTCTACATCGGATTGTTCCCATATGAATGGCTTTTTAGCTGAAGTTAAGGATTGATCTGGCTCAAATGGTCTTAAACTAAATCCAACTAAATGTAATACAGTTGATTTCAGCTTGAGAAGTGAAAAAGACATGCATGGATTGATCCAATCTCATGATTGTTGTAATATTGACGGTACCATGATAGAGAGTAAGTCAAGTGTTTCTTATCTTGGCATCAGTTTCTCTTCAAACCTTTGCTGGTCGTCTCACATTCTTATAGATTCTACGAAAGTTTTCCGTCTGACTTATTACATAAAGAAGTTGAGGCACTCAGGTATAAGCCAACCTCTTCTCATAGAATTTATTAATTCATGTGTTTTGCCCATCATTCTTTATTGTTCTCCATTATTCTTCCCTGAGCTACTCAAGAAAGACCATATAATACTACGAAGAACATTGAAGGCTGTAAGTAGGGTCAGTGCTATCCCTTTGCCTCAACTAACCGACACTGTTGTCAATAGGCACATGAATTCTTGTAAACACTTAGCTAAAGTTATCTTGTCTGATAGTGAACATCCTCTTTATTCACATTTGTTTCCTTGTATCTCTTCGGGTAAGACCAGAAGAAATTTCATAAACATTTATGCTCGTACTACAAAATATAAAAATTCGACCGTACCATATTTGGCACGAGTATTGTGTGAAGAGATAAATATCAGAAAAGAACTTTTACAACTTTTAAATCATTAACTAAACTATAAAATGTAATGATGCACATTATTGCATGTGTTATTTGTTATATTATTTATTTATTATTCACAATGACCTAGAAATGGTGTGATTTTGTTGGGGTTTTTATTTTTCCTATTAAATATCAATATTTTGATATTTTATACATTTATATTGGTGTGATTTTGTTAGGGTTTATATTTTTTCCTATTAGCTATCAATATTTTAACATTTTATACATTTATATAATTATAAACAGAGCTAAACCATTGCAATATGTAAAAGAAACGCTGAAAATTCCATGCTGTAAATTGTTGTGGAATAAAGTGCACATTATTATTATTATTATATTACCAAATGATGTTGTAGATCGGTTACAGGATTTCATCATGAGCTGACATTGGTTAGAGAATCATTGGAAGGCCTGGACAGCTGTTTCGTCTTAGTTTGGGACTCTTCATCAGTACGCATCCACCGGGATTCGAACCCAGGATCTTCTGGTTACAAGGCTAGCGAGCTCGTAGACCATTAAGCCACTGGGACCCAATCCAATGGCCCATGAATTCTAACTTCTGCCAATTCAAGATATAGCGCAACCGCTAGCCAATGTCTTCGGCGAGTATTTGGCCTCACACCCGACCTGCTGCACCCTACTGGTCACGACTTCCCACTGGAACCCCAGGTAACTACCTACCTGGGTGCGTACTGTTGAAGAGTCCCAAACTAGGACGAAACAGCTGTCCAGTACTTCCAGGTTTTCCAATGGTTCTCTAACCAATGTCAGCTCATGATGAAATCCTATAACCAATCAACCGAATCCATACAAACCAATACTTGGATGTTGTAGATCATTCAGGCACTGTGACTCAATCCAATCGCCCATGAATTCCAACTTCTGCCAATTCACAATGTACAGAGCAACAGCCAATCAGATGAGTATGAAACCCGAGCGAAACAGCTGTCCAGTAATTATCAATATTATCGTTCCCTTGGGTTCAGAGTTGAACATCAAGCTTCAACAGGACACCCTATTCTCCGCAGTCCAATTTAGCTGGCCTTACGATTGCCCATACGTTTATATCTCATCTATGTCACCCTGAAACGGAGACCCAACTTGTTGTTTCACATTTGGGTTGCACTTGACCATCGACTTGGCGCGCGCGATGTCACCCAAGGGTCTCCTCAGCGTGTATCCCATGAATATTCGTTTTCCTTGACATCATTTTTTGAGCATTAGGTCTTCGATTAGTTCGTTCACACAGTTCCTCGTCGCTGATTTTTTTTCTCGTCGGTCATCTGGTCTTCAGTATAGAGCCAGTGAAGGCAGTTGTGGATAAATGTCCTCAGTAGTCTGTTCGAAATGCCATTCGTGACAATGGGACCAAGTTTCTGACCTATATAGAAGAACTCCCTGACTTATGATTGGCGTTGAAAATATGAATTTCCAGAGTGACTAAGGTTTGCATTCCCCTTCCAATCCTGACTGGCTGGTTTTGACAATCTTAATTTGTGCCACACCTGTAGTAAAAACGAATGTGCAATTTGTGCTTGTCGTTGTTTTTTATTTTTTATTATTTTTATTACAGCTTGATGCCACACCGTATTTTCAGTACAAGTATGGAATTTTCGGCATGGATATCGGTAGCCCAAATTTTGCAGGCCGACCAAAGATATCGGGTGTGCGTCGGCAGGGGATTGAACCCCGGACCATGTGCACGGTCGACGAGAGTCCTAACCACTGTGCCACCGACGCACGTTACTGTAGGTCGGTGAGTATCTTCACCACCTCCACCTTCTCTATGTTCACCTACAGTCCTTTCTTCGCTGCCAGCCAGCCAGCCAGCCTCTTCAAACAGTTTGTTGATTTTCGACTGTAAACCTTCGAGTTTGTGTGACATTAAACAGAAATCATCGGTGAAGTCCAGATCGTCTGGAGTCTTCTTATCGGTAGTCCAAAGTATTCTCGCTCCCAAGCACAGTCTTCCACATAATCTACTCCATCACAATTAAGAATATCATCAGTGAAAATAGGTAGACAGCCAGCCAGCCTGTCCTTCTCCTGTCTTCACTGAGTTTTCCCGTTGTGGTTCACCTGACACATGGTATAGCCATATAGCAGCTATTGAATCAGCTGTCCAGCACTTCCTGGTGATTTTCCAATGGTTCTCTAACTAATATCAGTCGGCTGGCGATCAAATCCCTGCAAACCAAAACTTGATAAGCAATAATTGTTTACTAATAATATTATTAGAGAATAAGAAGCACTAATAATAATAGTAATAATAACAATAATTAAGGAAAAATAATATACTCGAACGAATAAACAAACAATTCATCAAAGAAAAGTCGATTAGTAAATGTTGCTGTACAGGTGTAAGCAGTGTGTGTGTTGCAACACTAGGCAACAACAACACGTCTACATATCAATCAACACCACTCTTCAGGTAGGCTAGAATAACAATAAATTTCTTATCATCAGCTATTTAAGCCAGAGTTGAAGAATGACATGGAGGTGGGGTAGGGTAGGGTAGGGTCAAATCACAAACACTTCAACTCTAGGGTTTATATCAACAAAGTGGACAGAAAAATACTGTCAAAGAGAGAAAAAATCAACTTTTCAAGGTTTTCAGCTGTAGTACTAGTATTACTACTACGACTACTACACAATAGCTTGTTTGTTTGATAGATAACTACCTCTAGATGGCAAAATAGAATAAACATGCATATCTATCAACAGGTTATTTAACCAACTTAGTTTAAGCGAAAAAAAGAAATTAAACTATACAGGATAACAGAGAAGAAAAAAACAACACCTGGAGAAAAGAATGAGCAAAAAACAACAAAAAAACAACATTTTTAGAAATGACGTGAAATAAGATCTCGTTTCTGGCTGTGCCTTTTTATCACTTGACTGTTTGGCCTAGAACAATGCTGATGAAGTGTTTTAGTAGAAGATTTGGAAAGTTTCTCTGAATTCAATAATGGTCTGCTGTTATGCTTCAACAACAATCCACTATTGTTGTGCGACTTCGTTTGATTTCGGCCAAATAATGATCCAACTGCTGCTGCCATCGTCACCGCCGATGTTGATGGAGAACGAGCGTTGCGATTTTTCTGATTTGATTTTAATATTAATGTGCCAGAATAAGGATTATGACCATCAGTAATTGGTTTCAAAGAGTCTGCTCCACCGACTGGTGTCTTTTCAAGTATTTTTAAAGCCATCTCTAGTCGATGTATAGCTGCTTTAGTTTCTACTTCTTGATGCTTTGATCGATGAGTATTGTTTATAACTGACAAGGGAAAAAAACAAAAACAAATTGTTTTTGGAGAAAATGGAAGAAAAAAATATTTGGGGAGAAGCACAAAAGAGTTGAAAACTATTTCTTCTTCTTCATATAATTTTGATTTTACCGTTGATTCATTGCAACGAAATGTTCGGCCTCTGTTAACATGTCGGCCGTATCAACGACGTTTGCGAACTAACTTCATTTAATCCGGTGGATAATGACTAACAGTGGAACCCGGCATGAGCATTTCGCCCTGTTTGTGGAGCTCGTCATCTGGATGTATCTGCATAACCCAATGAGTAAGTGATAGTGTTCCAGCTGAAGCATATGCCACTTACGCCATCTCTCAAACAGACGTGATATCCGACTGTCGACCAAAGGACGTGTGTACTGCTAACCAGATCACTCTCTCCTCCTTTATGTCTGTGAGACATGGCCATCAAAAGTGGTAGACATGAAAAGACTAGCTGTCTTTGACAGCAGGTGTCTGCGTTCTATCTCCCGTGTTACGTAGTAGGTATAATAGGGTGAGCAATATTCAGGTTAGGCGTACAGTGCTAGGTAAGCAGGGGAAATCAATCGATCAGGTTGTGAAGCACCTGCATTGATTGAGATATCTACGACATGTGTTACGCATGCCTAGCCATCGCCTTCCTCGACATAGCGCGACCCCTAGCCAATGTCTTCGGCGAGTATTTGTTCTCACACATGACCTGCTGCACCCTACTGGTCACGACTTCTCACTAGAACCCCAGGTAACTACCTACCTATCTGAATAGGGCAAGTCGCTAGTGAGCATTTCATTGATATTCAGGTGTTGGTTTGTGAATTGGCAGAAGTTAGAATTCATGGGCCATTGGATCGGGTCCCAGTGGCTTAATGGTCTACGAGCTCGCTAGCCTTGTAACCAGAAGGTCCTGGGTTCGAATCCCGGTGGGTGCGTACTGATGAAGAGTCCGAAACTAGGACGTAGGAAACAGCTGTCCAGTACTCCCAGGTTTTCCAATGATTCTCTAACTAATGTCAGCTCATGATGAAAATCCTGTAATGGAATAATTGTTTGAAAAAATTCCTCTTGAACGAGCCAACTTACAATATTGATAATTATCTGGGTATTTTGAATAACTTTGTAATTATTATCCATTCTATTCCTAGACTGCATATATATATATATCATTGATGTCCTGATATTTGCATATCATAGTGTCGACTTAATCGATACTATTACTTGTCTTCGTCCCTGTTTAATCTCTAATATGAATGCTTCACTCTGTAAAGTTTGATTTGTAATTAATCTGATGCTCGCTAGTGACTTGCTACAGGATGGAGTTTCCTGGAGTTCTAGTGAGAAGTCGTGACCAGTGAGGTCCAATTAGATGTCACGTGTGTGGATGGATGCCCCACCAACGACAATGGTTGGGGTCGCGCTAAATCACGAATTCGTAGAAGTTAGAATTCATGAGCCATTGAATCGGGTCCCAGTGGCTGAATGGTATACGAGCTTGCCTTGTAACCGGAAGGTCCTGGGTTCGAATCCCAGTGGGTGCGTACTTCCGATGACTCCCAAACTAGGATGAAACAGCAGCTGTCCAGTACTCCCTGGTTTTCAATGGTTCTCTAACTGATATCAGTCCGTGATCGACTCGTATAACATAACTAATCCTTACAAACCAAACTATAGAAATAAAATCTATCGACTAACAGATTATTCTCATTCTTACAGTTCATCTTTTGGATATATTTTTAAGCACTGTATTGGTCTACTTTGATGATGCCTTCAGATTGTAAGCTCAGACAAGAACCTCTTTATTATCCTACAAACATTTCAAATAAACACCATGAAAGTGTTATGAATTGAACCTAGACATCCATACTAGTAGCCGACATCTCAACACAGAAGACGCATTTCAATTCAATATGATCAGTTAATGAGAAATTCAAAAATAATTATTACAACAAATAACAGCTGATGATTACTCGTTGAAGAAGAGCCAGCGGTTTTGTCATTTCAACGCTAAGTGTTAGCTCCAATTCTCAGTGGGAATACGGTCACTCACTGAGGAGGAGGAGGGGTGATGCAGGTGCACATCCAGCTGACGATTTCTAAACAGAAGCAAGAACATGTCCTGCATTCCTCTGTAAACCACCATCACAGTCAACCTTAAGGCATCATTAAAGGTGTCTATTCCCTAGGAGATGATGCGCTAAAATAAATCGAAGTCTTTAGATTTAATAAAATTGAAATAATTGTGGAATAATAATACAGACTACATTGAACAAAGAAACCATGAAAGGTATACCATTATTATGGTTCCCTTTTGTTTCGAATGCAACATGAAGCTTTCAACAGCGTGTTTCCACTTTCGAGTATTCTCTACAGTCCTCTCTTTAGATGGCCCAACTATTGCGCATAACCTTTCATCTCCTCCAACTCACACGATCCCTTCCATGTAATCCTCGCATGACCCACTCATTACTTCTACTCGAGTGCTTGGTGCGAAGTGTCAACTAACGGTCTCCTCATCCTATAACGAATCTATCTTCATTCTCTCCTACGTATATGTTGAGCAGTCGGCACTTGGTTGGTTTATTCCCAGAGTTTCTTGTTGGTATTTCTTCCCAACCAGTCAGTCACTTGATCTTCGGTAAGGAGCCAGAGAAGGCAGCTGTTGATAAAAGTCTCCAACCTGTTGGAAATCCTTCTCACAACACGCCTGCCAAATTTACGACCCATATAAAACCGATGACTGACTTCACACTTTTCTTGAAAATCCAAATCTTGGTCTTCATGCTGAGTGAGAGCACAAGATTTACAAACTGATTTCAGGTTGATGAAGGTGTACCTCACCTTTTTGATTCTCTTTGGTGTTGACATCTTGATCCGTGCCGGGGTTGATCCACCTGTGGTTGAAATTATGCTGGCTGGCTACCTAGATAAGTGAAGACAGTAACTGCTGTCAAATCTCCCTCGTTCATGATGACTGGTGCCGGTTGTAGTTGTTGCTGTTGTTGGTCGGTCAGTATCTTCATCACTGATATTTTCTTTATATTCACCTGCAGTCCTCTCTTCGCTCCCAGCCAGCCAGCCTCTTCAAACAGTTTGTTGATTTTCGAATGTAAACCTTCGAGTTTGTATGATATTAAACATAAACCACCAGTGAAGTACAGATCTTCTGGAGTCTTCTTATCGGTAGTCCAACGTATTCCTGTCTTCTCACTCCCAAGCACAGTTTTCCACATAATCCAGTCCAACACAATTAAGGATATCATCAGTGAAAATAGGTAGCCAGCCAGCCAGCCAGCCTGTCCTACTCCTGTCTTCACTTTGAAGGCAGGCTTCACTGAGTTTTCCCATTGTGGATCACCTGACACTTGCTGCCATTGTCAAATACTTGTCCATGCCAAGCAAAATACTAAGTCACATAATTTCTGGAGAGAATAAAAGATGCACTAAATGCAGAATTCAGGATAGGCAAATTATGTGCTTGTCAAATGGCAAAGCAACGCCTCAACAACATCATCATCAACGAACAAAGCACATAATGACAGTCAATTTCATAAACTTTTATGAAGGCCTAAGACAGTGTTGACCGTGAAGTAATATCTGGGAACTACTCCAACTGTGGTGGTGTATGCCACTGAAAAGATTGATAAGCAGTATATACATATAACAAATGTTTATCGGCATAAAAAACATCAAATAGCAGGGAGATAGATTTGATGTCAGGGTAAAGCAAATGATACAGAGTTTTGGAGATACATGGGAGACGACGTGAAAGGAATACAAAGAAACACAATATGAAGGGAAGGCAGAAGTAGGACAACACGGAATATCTGTGGAAATGATGCGTTGAAAATTAGTTGCACATAATTTGGCTACATAAAGGTAACAAATTGTGAATAAACACTCCTATACAAAGTCTTTTGTCTTCTAACGTTACACAACCTCACCCAGAAAAATCTATCGAACATGTGAAAGCCATAACAATAGGCGGTTTTTTTAAGTTAGGCACATTTGAATTGTATTCACTTAGCCTAATTCACAATTGACATTGATAATAAATGTGAACATTTCTAAATATCGTTTTCTGAGTTTATTGTTATTATTATTATTATTCAAAACACAATGCAACAACAACAAGTTTATTCACTTAACCGAATGAATTGGCTGTTTCATTTATTCACATTATATCGTATACACCTGAACAAGTTAACCCACTAACTAAGTAGATTTGTTTTAAGAAAGCATTTTTCTGTTAATTTCTTCCCCTTATGTTGTCTGCTTCCTCACCCCACACTACCCTACAAGTCGCTTTAGGTCAAATCGGAGCCTTAATTGTTATCTTTTCTTTTGTTGTCTTAACACTAGAAGTCATTATATATAAATTCTTTAATTATTACACAATTTCACCACGCCTATTCTAGAACAACTTATATATATATATGTCTTTCTTGTTTGTGTTTTTCCATGCTACTGTTTCCGACCGATAGTCTTTTTTCATGGGGAATCTGGAATAAACAAAAAGCGAAGTCTGCAATCGGTTAGATAGACACTTTTATTATATGCCAATGTCGCGTTGGTCATTTGTGATTGTTGCAAATGATGCATCTTAAATAGTCCTCATCCCAAAACACCTTGGACGGTGTAAAATAATAAGGTACATCCATAGAGAAAAGAGATCTGAAGGATGGTTTATCTGAACTTACAATCCTACAAGGAAAGGATCTCTGAGAACACTGTTTGATTGTGTACGAGAGAGCTTTATTCAGAAGAAAAAGTCAATGAAGAGTTATCCATTGTGGAAAACTGTCTGAGGGATAATGGTTACCACCCAACCCCATCCATCCACAGAAGTTCATGGATAAACATAGGAAACATATTATTGACAAGTAGAGTAAAAGTCCATTTTTCTACAGCTTGCTTTTAAAGCTGATAATACTCCCAGTAGAATAAGCTGAAGACTGAACGCTACTCTGTGTAAAGAACATATCAAGCCGCCAAACTTGTATGTGCATGTTAAACGACCAGTTTGTTGTTTACGACAATCAACAGTGGACACACTCTCACTTCATGTTACCTCCAACCGTGTCTATATTAATTCACATGTACGTGTAGGGTAATTGTCCACATTTCTGAACATATAACAAGCAACCTGAGACTAACTAAAGGCATCATGGACATTAAACAGTATGATGATTAAACTCCATCTATTGGACACTGGTCGTATTGTTGACAATCTGAAGGTGTTCAAAACAATCATCAACAGCAAAAAGACAGAAACCTAGTTTGCTGTAAGTTACACACTTTTATCACCAGCTGATTTTGTTGGCTCCATCATACTGAAGATAAAATGGCCGACTAGTCAAAAAAAATAATTAGCAGCAAAAACCTCTGGGAACAAACCAAACAAGGGCCGACTGCACAACATATAAGTAGAAGAGAATGGAGATGGATTTGGCATAGACTGAGGAGGCCGTCGAATGACATCGCGTGCAACGCAGGCCATCCATCGTTCGATTATATTCCCAATGGAAAGCCACAAGTTGGTCGTCCCAGGATAACATGGAGGAGATCGTGTGGGGAGGAGGAGATGAGAGATTATGGGCAATCGTGGAACCAGCTGAAGAGGATAGCAGAAAATCGAACAGAATGAAGATGTGTTGTTGAAGCCCTATGTTCCAACCGGAACCTAAAGGAATAATAATAATAATAGAACAGTGCCCAAGTTTCACACGTACATTAGCTTCTAACCACTCCCTAGTTTACACTGGTTCCCTAACTTGAATTCCATTGAATAAATATTTCCACATGAGAAATAATATTAACAAAAATGATTGAATGAACCAAGCACGATAGTTAGTTAAATTAATAACTGGTCGAAACAGAAGCAGATGAAAAACACTCACCAGTAGTAGAGCCTTAAATTTGTCCCACCATGAGATGTAGACTGTTGACAATTCTGATTTAGGCCAAGTTTTCCATATAAATCCGGTATAGAAACACGGGAAGACAGAAGTGATGAAGAATTTGTAAAGGTATCATTAGATGATGAAACTGTAGGTGTACTATTAAAGTGAATATAATAATAATAACAGAATAGAAAGCAGACAGTCGAGAAGAATACATCATATGAGATAAAACTTATAACTCAATTGACTAAAAGATTTAATTATTAATTAGTTTCAAGTTTGATCACGGATTGATATCAATTAATGAGAAACATTGAAAACCAACAGACAGTACTGGATAGCTGTTTCTTCCCCCCCCCCCATAGTTTGAGACTAACCTGGGCGATACTCACCCAGATTCTTCCGTTCACAAGGCGAACTAGTAGACCATTCACAGCCACTGGAACCCAATCCAATGCCCAGAGGAGTCTGCTCAGGTTGAAGGTTTTGGGTTCGACCCCTCCAGCCCCTCCGTAGATGCGTACTGCCAACGAATCCTAAACTGGGACAAAACAGCTGTCCAATCCTCTCCCTGGTGGTTTTTAATTATCTTTATAACTGATGCTGGTTCGTGACAGAAAGCTAGCAATCGAAAGAGATTCTCCTTGAACACATTTCTTACCTAGTTGTATGGAGGAGATTTAGCTCATTGGCCTTGAGCACTCCACCTTCCAGTCAATGAGTCCCACAGTTTGAATTGAGGGGACTAAAATTGAAACTAAGTCTAATGCTAAATACCTCGGTCTAGTTCTGTCTTCCGACCTTACTTGGACATCTCATATCCTAATGATTTCTAAGAAAGTGTTCTGTCTAACCTACTACAACATTAAGAAACTTAGACAATCTGGAATCACCCAACCTCTACCTTCACAATTTGTCAACTCTTGTATCTTACCTATTCTACTTTACTGTTCCCCGTTAGTCTTTCCTGGTCAACTGAAAAAGGACTATGCCATCCTGAGAAGGATGTGGAATGTAGTCAGTAGGACTAGTGGTGTAAAACTCAGTCAGCTCGTCACTACTTTAGTTGATAGGTATCTGAATACATGCGAAAAATGGTCAAAAACCATACTCTCAGACCCCCAACACCCCCTCTATTCCCAACTCTCGCCTTGTATCTCATCAAGTAAAACCAGAAATCAGTATCAAATAATCTATGCTCGTACAACCAAGTACAGGAACTCAACGATACCATACTTGGCCCGTGTTCTAAGCGACAGAGACAATGTTAAGCGTGAAACTTATGAATTGCTCTGTTATTAACAACATAATTTTAGGCTCTTTTATTTCTCTCTTATTTTGTATTCTTTAGTGAACTCCTTCTCAAACATACTTAGCTACCTAAAATATTAACATTGGCTTCCTTTTTTGTACTTTACTATATTCCTTCTATTGTGTATCCACTGGTACCGACTCTATTAGCACTATGAGTATTACAAAATTGTCCTGTCATTAACCATCATGTAATATTAGTTTTGTGGCTGTTTTTTCTTATTTTTCTATACTTTTCGGCAATATTAAACTGACAATCATTGGTTGTGAATGCCATAGTCACCACCTTAAAAAAATTTTGTATTATTCAGGATTACTCACACTACCACCACAAACACTGCATTAGACTTTGGTAGACTTTTGTACTTTTTCGCACTTATAATTATTTTGTATTTATCCTGTTTTTTTTTCTGTTGGTGTCTTCAGATTTATTTTTTTGTTTGTTTAATACTTATTTTAAATGCTGATAAAATTAGATGCAAATATTGTAGATATGTGCTGAAAATTCCACACTGTACCACTAGTACTGTTTCTGGAATAAAGTAAATTATTATTATTATTATATCTAATCCACTTACTTTAGCCTAAGTAACTGGGAAGTTAACTGACTAAAACCTTAATGATTGAATAGTTTTATACCTTCAGTTGATTAAAATAAAACATAAACACACTCAAAGTCATCCATTCTATACCTCTACCTTCCAACAGACAACCTGATTTGTCTGCTTTTGGAAGTGTGTGTGTGTGTGTGCGTGGTTGATATCTCCCACCTGCCCACACACCATCGGAGTTAACTTCCTTTTGGAGTTGGTGTAACGAAAATAGTATTAGTGTTGCATGATCATATATACAGCCCAGAGGACAACTGGTCAAGGCCAGGCCAGTCATACATGGAGTTGCGTCCGTCTGAAGGTCTTATCGCCAGCTACAGACTGCCGCAAGATTCATCAGATTATATAATCTTTGGATACGTATAGAAGTAATAGGACCTGTGGGAACATCAATTCCAACTAGTGCAGCTGTGTTGGTGGTCATTGCAATATGCAAGCTTGACCACCACGTCAAGATAGTAGTTATCGATCGGAGAAACATACAATTTTATTTATGAACACTGATAATATCAGTATGAAGACTATTAAGAATATGTAAATTAAACTATTAAACAGGTTAAAGAATACAACCACAATCAGACAACACCATTCCACTTGAGCTACAAAACAAGACTAATATATGTGGCGAAAATAAGAAGAAACATACTTTATACTATTTTCCATTGGAAGTGTCTTATCAAAGCATTCATTCAAATGTGTAGATGACATAAGCTGCATAGGATCATATATACCCATTATAACGGCTAATTGAGCTTCACGTTGTTTAGCTTCTTCAATTATCCGAAGTTTTGTAGCTTCATCAGATGCACGTTGTGCAACTGTTAATTCATCTTTAGTTGGTCTAGCTGGTCGTGCAACTAACGTGTATCCATGAAAGTTTAAACCATCTAACCTATAAATAATAATAATAACAATAAAGGTAGTGGTATTTGTTCAATAGTTATTATGATTATTATTAATATATAATTGTTCCTTTTGGTTCCGAATGAAATATAGGGATTCAACAGCACACCTTCAATTAGCCCATAGTCTCTTATCTCCTCCTCACACAATCTTCTCTATATCACCTTCAAAGCCAAGCCCAACTCTCGTTGTTTCCTATTCGGGTTCCACTGGATCAGTCAGTGGCTTGGCATCAGCCTACTCAGCATGTATCCGAACCATCTTCATTTTCTTAGACATACTTTCCAGCACAGCAGGTTCTTAATTGGTTCGTTCACAGAGTTTCTTATTGCTAATTCTTTCTGGCTGGTCATGTGATCTGCGGTATGGAGCTAGGAAAGATGGTTAGCTTTTGATAAATGTCTACAGTAGCTTGTTGGAAATGCTTTTCATGACGCGTTAGCCAAGTTGCTGACCCATATAGATAAGCTGACTGGCTTAACATTGGTGTTGAAAATCCTAATTTTATTGCTTATTCTGTGAAGTGCAGAAAATTTTCAAACTGATTTCAGATTGACGATGGTGTATCTTGTCTTTCCGACCCTGGCTGTCTTTGACATCCTCATTGGGGGCCGTCTGTCTATAGCTCAAACAATTCCGCCTAGATAAGTGAAGGAAGGGATCGCTTGTCGGTTGATTACTTTTACCACCTCTATGGTTAGCAGTGACCATATTATTTATTATTATGGACACCATGACATACGTCACACAAAATCTCACAGTGTGTGAGAAGGCTGGGATACTGTCCAGACGCTCAGATTGAGGCAGTTGGCTGTCTTCAAGTCTGATCCCCAAGGCAGTGAAGCAGCGTCAGCTACAATCCCATGGTTTATGGTGATCAAAACAAGTTTATATGCCATTCAATCCTTTCGGATTATGGGGTCCGTGTACATCACAGGTTTGGAATTAGGGTTTTCCGACTCCCCAAGGTAGACCTGAATGTCCACAAGTCTTGTTGTGAGGGACACCCCATTGTGTGTGAAGGCAGTGAATACGACTTGCCGAGCAGAGATCATGAACACGTGACTACAGGAGAGCATTTCGAGAGGAAGACGGAAGTCTACCCACCCTCAGCCATTACATGTCTTTCATGGAGTCGACCATATGATGTTTAAATCACTGGTTTGCGTTCAATAACTGAAGTTAAATGGAGCTAATAAAGTATAATTATACTTCAATAGTTTACACACAATGATAAGTTTTGTTATTGGTAATATTTCGAGCAAAATTACTGCCCGTGTTCACACCTTTACTGATATTTTACTTTTACTGATATTAATTAAATGGAGTTGCTGTTCATTGATCTAGCTGATCGACTTTCCACAACTAGGTCACATGTTAGAAACCCGCTTCACTTACCGAGGTTACACAGCAGATATGTGACATCACTAGCTTTTAGACAATAGGTGCGGCTTATTGAAAACTGGATGCACTTGTAATTGATTAGAAGTGAAATCCATAAAGCGTGACTCCTCTTACCTGGGACTTATCAGTTTAATGTACCTTGCCCTTAGTGAATAGTGGTATTCCCCCAGTCAGGTTCGAAGCTAAACCATTTTCTACTAGGTCACTGGGCGAATCCATATCAACACAGGGAGCGAATACTTCAGTCAAATAAAAATTATTCTACTAGAAGTACAAAATAATTTGGACAGATATACACAGTAGATTACAGAGACTGACTGACTGGATTTAACATCAAACTTTGCATATAAGTAGAGTAGTTCGAGCTGTCACACTCCATGTAGCACACAAAGCAATAATGATATTTGAAAAAAACGATAATAAGCAGAAATTTGGCGAAGAAAAGGAATAGTAACACGGAAAACCAATAGGATTTAAGTGGAATGCAGTAGATCACACAGAGAGTGAATGGTTTGACCACTACTGGCATTTCGCCAACCTGATCCTGTGTCAGCTAACATTGACTGTCGAGGAAGGCGATGGGTAGGCATGCGTAACACATGTCGTAGATATCTCAATCAATGCAGGTGCTTCACAACCTGATCGATTGATTTCCCCTGCTTACCTAGCACTCGACACCCACCTGCAATATTGCTCACCCTATTATACCTACCACGTAGCATGGGAGATAGAACACAGACACCTGTGGTCAAAGATAACCAGTCTTTACATGCCTTCCACTTTCGATCGCCATGTCTCAGAGACATAAAGGAGGAGAGAGAGTGATCTGGTTATCAGTACACACGTCCTTTGGTCGACAGCCAGAAATCACACGTATGTGTAAGAGATGGCATCAGCTGAAGAAGAAGAACGCCAAACGAGCATTTTGTATCCATGCTGAGATTACGCGTTAGCAAGCATTTCATTAGCACTGAGGCAGCTTCCCTAATAAGTGAAGTGGGGTCACAATTAGACTTCTTTGAAGTTGCTTCTAATTTCTTCTTGAAAGATCAACTTGGACCAAAGTGCCCGGTTGCTGTTGACATGTTGGTGATCTGAAGGAAACTCCTTGCTGCTGCTGCTGCTGCTATATACGTATTCGTCAGCAGTACGGCTTTACCCACATACCCCTCCCGTACGTATAGTGTAAACATCTTAAACTATGACGGTAACTGCTTTGAGTCTAATCGCATAAACATTAGTTCCATTCAGTGTAGCTTGCTGTGTCATTGTGATATGCAAGCCCGACCACCACATCAGGATAACAGCTATATCGGTCGGGATATTAAAGATAGAAGATGTACAAGTACGGAAGTATTACATAATAAACTTTAAACTATACACTGAAAGATAATTAACTGCAAACATATAATAATAATAAACGTTCCAGGGAAAGTTAAAATATTTTTCTATTTTAGATGTCTTTTTAACGAGTTTATCAGCAAACTATACAATCGTCACTTATAAATAAAGTGATTTTTAAGAAAATATATCTCATGAGGAAACATTTATAGTAATAATGTGAATTGGGATAAAATATATATGTGATTATAAGCACAGTTCAATATCGAGTGACAAGATAGGTTGCATAATACATAAAATAGTTCATAGGACGCATAGATCTTGGAAAGGAGTGCAAATACTTTCCATAAAGATATCAGGCCGAATTCCAGGATCGTTTTGAAAGAAAGAAAGAAAGGAAATATGTGAGAGACTACTGATACTCAATCAAAAACCCTGAGAAAACGATTTGAAGATTATCTATTGAATTCACGCTAAACTAGTGTGTTTTCTTCATCTTCATCAACTTCTAAAGACAGCTGAGGCCTTAGCTATTCATAAGCCTAGGCTGGGATACTTGCGTACAAGAGAAGCATGCATAGTCTCTTCTTCTACCTTGACCTTAGAATAGGAATAAAAATTTACTTAATTTCACTTTGTGTAGTGAATCTATGTTCCTGATATCAAACGAATTCGAAAACTAACAAAGTCAGCAGAAGAAACAACGAAGACAGGACTTCAAGTGGACGCAGAAAAGACAGAGGTGATGAAGGTGCCTGACCTAAAACATCAAGCACTAATCATTAAAGGCATTTCCAACAAGCCACTACACACTTACTTCAATAGATGCCTCTGGGCAATAGTGAAGATCAGATAGCCGGTCGGAGGAGATAAGTGACAAAGAGCTATGGCAACGAACAAATCAAGGAGAAATAAGCAACGAGAATTGGAGATATATTGGTTATACACACTGAAGAGTTTGTTGAGTGACATCACCCGCCAGACAAGCCCTCAATTGGAATCCGAAAGGGAGACGAGGTCTGATGGTGACATAGAGGAGATAGTGTGAGGAGGAGGAGAAAGCTTAAAGACAGTAGTCTTGAAACCCACTGAAAGTGATGGCAAAAACAAAGTGAAATGGAGATGTACTGTTGAATGTCTGTGTCGTACTCGGAACCGAAGGAAATAATAGTAAGAATATATGGTGCATTATTATTATTATATTCACTTTGAACAGTTTCCAATATCACTTACTTTTTGTTAGTTTAGTACAGTCTATGTTTGCAGTTGGTCCATCGAGGGAAAGGGCTCTCGAGTGGTTGCGCCACAGGATGATACTGCATGCCCGTCTCGTCTCGCAAGAGGCAGGGATAGGTGTGTTCGGTTCTCCTGTGAAACCAATACCTATTCAACGGGTGTACCATTATGTGAGTGTGCGTCAGTGGCACAGCGGCAGTGCTCGCTGACCACGCAAGTGGTCCGCAGCTCGATCCCCGGCCGACGCACTCCTTTACCTCGCTAAGCCATTAGCAAGACTGGTAAAGAGGGAAGGTTGGGCATGAGGCTAGCAAACCCATCCTGTTAAATAAACACTGCTACAGAAACTTCAAGCCTCTAGCTTGAAGCCCAGTATTCCACTGGGAACGTAAAGGAAAAAAAATATTTGCAGTGTTAAATTACATCCTATCGAATTTCTCAGATTGTAGCATAGTGTTTTATTTACCTCCTAATCTAGTGAATTGTATATCTCATAGCCCCAGCTTAAAATTACCCACAGTGTAATGAATAAAACCTTGAAGGAAAATAACCTACCCTTTCCATGCCTTTTTAGCATCGTCAACTGATTTATACGTCAGGAAGCAATAACCAACAGTAGATCCTTGCAAATCACCAGTTTTATGTACAGGGAAATGGAAATCTGACAATTCTCCGAACTGTTTAGCTAACTGTAGAACTGCAAATTCTGTGATGCGTGTCGGTAAACAACCTAGCCATATTCTATGTGGATCACCGTTTACTTCAAGTGAATCACTACAGTCGTCAGAGGCTGTTAATCGACCACTTTTTGTTTCCATTAGGGGGGGGGGGGAGGACCTAGGGGGGAAATGTAAAAAGAAGCAACAGCTAGAACTGCATAAACTGTTCTGAAGTAAAAATTTAAAAAAAAAAAAATTTTTGCACAAACCCATTGCAGCTATATTGACATGAAAATTTATCCCTTAAGACTGAGTACTCAACTACTAGATAATAGGTTACAAGTTTGAAGCCCATTTTAACAGAAACTTCCAGATAGTTTTGGAAGCCTTTAGAATGAATCCTCAAGAAAGTAAGTACCTTTGTAACAGTAGAAGGCAAGACACGGAAGCAAAGGTATGTTTTCAAGTGATCAAACAGCTATTTATATTTATACAGTTTATATTTTTAACCGATCACTGAGCTTGTGATTTTGGTTTACATCAAACAACATGAAATAGAATTGTCAAATACGCGTGTAGTCCTTTATTTAGTGCAGACTGAATTCGATCAGTCTGCAATGTAGCCACCATTGTAGTTGGCACCGGCTAATGAAAAGTCTTACATTTAGGAGATATCTTTGATTAATTTAGTTCAAAGATGATGCATCCATCTATACGCACTACACATACAAACTGTTAATTCTATTCTTGCATCTACACAACAGCGAACGGGACAGAGTATTCATCTGAAATCATGCATATACGCTTTTCGAAATTTCGAACAAAAAAAAGTTCACCTAAAAACTGTGACCTTAATTGACTTCAATGACTTATGGATTGACATGTTACCAAGAAACAGTTTTGTTGATTTATAGTAAGTAGACGATATTGTACTTCTAGCTGAAGATCCTAACAAAATATCGAGTACTCTGAAGACCTTGCGTAGGAATCTTAGTATGCCTGGTATGCGATTCGCCTACTTCGAACGTAAGATATTTCTGCAGGGACGTTATTCACTAACTGCTAGTTGAAGGACAGTGATTCAAGTCGTGGAGCGTGCTGAACACGTTATTCGAGAAGATGTATTAGTTCTGATACACTACATTCATTTTATTTAAAGCAAAGAACGTGGTACAGTATAGGCACCATGAAGTGAAGTGTAAAGGTTGGAATAGTGCCCGGGTGTCCTGACCGAGACAGGTGGTTGTCTTCAGACACCACCCCCACAAGGCCTTTGACTCGAAATCTCATCTGCAAGGCAGCACAGCAGCGTCAGGAGCTACGCTCCCATGGTTGCCAGTGTCCAATAGAGGTTCACACGCCATTGCATCCGTTTGGATTCCATAGAGTATGCACTCCTTAATGACCGCTTTTAGTCTAACAAGTATCCAAACAACCTTCTTAGAATGGTAGGACCTGCAGGAATATAATTCCCAACCAGTCTAGCTCGTTTCGTCATTGTGATATGCAAACCCGACCACCACGTCAAGGTAGCAGTTATTGGTGGGGTAATGCACTGATTGCTGAGGAAGTATCAAAAGGGATACAAAAGGCTCGTGGGGCATTTGCCAACTTATTTTATTTTTGACTCATACAGGATGTGTTTAATGCATAGCAGTGCGCTCCGTTTTCCTTTGTGGCTGTCAAACATAGCCACTGAGAGTGGAAGATATTAAAAGGCTAGCTCACTTTGACCAAAAAAAATGACTTCTATCTCCCTCGTTAAGTGGTATATTGCAGTGAACAATTCTGAGGCTAGACAGTGCTATGTAGGGAATGTAAGCCAATCAGGACGTTGTGAAGCTAAGTCGATTGAGATGTCTGAGCCATCAGTTTCCTCGTCGGGTAATGACATTTGATTAGGGTGGAACAGAGATAAGGTGGTGCAAAGCGAAACTTCGCATCAATTTATGAAGTTTTTGACAGCAGTTTTGAGACAAGTGGGGAGGGAAGTATAAACCGCCTGAATGGGATCTTCAAGAGGCTAAGATACAGGTACTGGAGACTGTTAGTGATATGGCTTAAAATCGTTTCCAGTGGTGTAGACGCATTCACTCTACATGGACTTCTAAATCCATAAGTTCTCATTATTCTCCATGTGTTTATTCCTTTTCACATGCTTATTAAAATGTTATACTTATGACTATTTTTATACCATCTCAAACTTTATAAGTTAGGACGACTGAACTGTCGTACGTAGTCCTGAGTTGTCCCAAACAGCCATGTACACACCAACTACGTATCAACAATTTAAATGTACAACTCCCGGAAGTGTATTGGCTAAGCAAACCACTTATATCTGTCCATCTGTGATGCATTACGGTCATTTTCCCCTTTGTCTTTACCTCAGTTTACTTAAGTGTTCATTACTGATCTGTCAGGCATGTTTTGAGCAGTAAAGTGTGGTACTTGGCACAGGTATATTGAAAATACACATCAACTCTTCTCCTGGGATCTTTAATTTTCGTAGCTAACTGGCCATTATCCACAGAAGACTCGCTAATTGCAGTGTACATACTTGGTAAACGTATGAATTATCTGGGTGAGGTACTCCACTCAACATCTGTAAATGCATTACTCTGAGAACTGTGTAGCAGTTAATTTTGGTCAAAACAGTAAAAGTAAGGGCTACTTGTACGCTGACACACCCGAAGAGTGTCATAATTAGACGAAAGGTATAAAAACAATGTTTTCCTAACGTGAGAAGGAATGGGGAGTGGGACTGAATATGTTATGAATTTTGCATTTTGGCAGCGAACACATCAATCGCTTATAGGAAAATGCCTCCACCTAATGCAGCAAATAATTTTAAATCTAATCAAATATAAAACGCTTAATAACTAATCGGTGTGTAAAGAGACCGAAAGAAAGGGAGGGAGATGGATTCAGGTAAATTACACAAAAATTTCATTCAAACGGTGGGGTAGTGAAATACAAACATAAATTACACTTGACAACTACTGCAACCTCTCCCAGTTTACCGGAACTACTAATAGTGAAGAACCTACAGCCAATGAGTCTATTGATTGCGATATTTAAAGATATCACGACGATGAATCTGGCAATTTTGCTTTAGCTAATGTCCATAGCCATTAAACCAACTATCTACGGATTCGTTTGTTTAAAATGAAACTGATGCAATAAGATTCTATGACACACACCCGTCTCAAAACTTCCTAAAACTAGACTCTATAGAAATAGTATAAACGTGGTCATCTAAGACACCCATCACCACATAACTTTTAGCAGATACATTTCATTACTCTGTTTTAAGTAGTTGATAACTATAAGCAAGGCGAATAAGATTAAACACCGAAAAGTACGGTAAATCATAAGTCTAGAATAAGGGGGTTGCACTATAGTTCATTGATCTAGGCGTCCGACTTCCATCCAGTGGGTCACATGCTCGAACGCTACTCCACCGACATTTAGATATCCCAGAGTAGCAACACTAGTCCCCAAACAACAGGTATGGTTCATTGCCAACTGTAAAGAATTTTAAGTGGTTGTTGAGTAACATCATATTTATTGCTATTATTTATATTTTCAAAGGCATCTTTGTCATGGTAACCGAATTAGCTTTATATTAATTAGCCCATTCAACCGTGGATAATCTTGTGCACCTCAATCAGAAGACCAATACTTTATACTGCTATTTAACAAACCCATGGATTTACGTCATTTTTACCTTGAATACTTTCGATTACTATCCCCCCCCCATTTTAAACTCGCCCCACTAATAATATTGCATGCTGAAGTTAAAAAGACCAAGTAACTCCTTGTATTTGTGTCTAGATTTCATACGGCTTTAACCTACTAGAGCTCCAATCAAGTTTTCAGAAGTTTGAAAGTCCATTTGATGGGAAACTCAAAGGCCTGCAAGCATGCAGTTTCCGTTTGGCGTTTTCTTGAATAGCAAAACAACTATGAGCAGTAGTCCCACATCTGTTTCCAAATTTGTAAGCCTAAATACCTCTGAAACAGCTATGGAAGAGGCACTTACTATCAGTTTTCGACAGGGCAGTAATACGGTATCCACATATAATCACACAATAGTCACTTAAATGGTACGTGGACACTTGACAATTGGTGTACTGGCATGAATTTCTCACAATGAAAGTATGAAATGCCTTTAAAGGATATGTAAAATGGGTGTTGTATTAAGGGTGATGCGGAAGACATTATTTTGGTAGATATATGAGAGAGAGATATTGCGACTATCAAGATTCCACTAAGAATTTCTGTGTTAATATCCAAGCGCACATTTTATTTAACGAATAGGACTTACAACTGCCTACTGAGAGCTGAATGAGCATACGATAATGTGGGTTATCATGGGCATCATTAATAAGAGAGTGAAGAGTGGAGGGCAAAACTGATGCAGGCAAAATGGTTACATCCAGTTTGAACTTTTACGTATATCAGTACAGTGAGGAATTTCACTTGTTAGCATCAACATAGCATTAGTTAAGCAAGTGCCCAAAGTAAACAAATGGGTGTAGGAAGGCTATAAATGTCTGATACATTTATAATCTATAAATTTAACCGCTTCACTCTACTAAACACGATAATGCGTGGCTGAAAAAGCAAATAAGTCTCTCAGGTATATATAAAAAATATAACAATACCTGAAAAGAAGTTAGAAATTTTATATGAAGAACATTTTCCTACAACGTGCTGTAAGCTACACTTAATGTGCAAAGGTTGATGATACCACCCAATTGTTCAAGCTGTAGCAGATGGAGGAGGGGTAAAACCCTGAAGCTAACGGCTGAAAGTCAACTTGCAGTGAGCACACCTTCAACTTGTGATATATAAAAATGTCTAAAGCCAAAAACCATAAAGTACACGATTGCAACATAGGTATAATAAGACGTCTTCGCAACATCACATTATATACAGTTAGCTTGAGACAACCAAATACTGTAGTATGGTACACGTCTGACCACAACTAATTGTACACTGACAGTTCAAATTATATTGTAACCTAGATCACAATAATAATGAGACAGAGTATTTCTATCATGAGAGTATGGCTTTGTGTAGATATGTACATAAAACTGTAGAACTTGCATGAATACCTTGGATTTAGAGCGACTGGCGGTTGGCAGATGAATTAAATAAACACAATTGCAATTCAGTCAGAACTGAAGTGTACTCTTCCCAATGCATCTACCTTGTCAGTGAAAAGATGCGCCCCTACGCTCAAGGTCATTTGAAAGCTGAGGTTTTCTCGTTTCACTAATCAAAAGTAGAACACAACAGTTTCGTGACAGACTATGACATTATCGCCTTGTATCACAGTGGATATTCAGCCATCTTTCAAAGGGGTCATCATTACGAGAATTATCAAAACTAAAATTATCATCTTTGATAAATTTCAAACTAACTGATCCAATATCCAATATCGTTTTTACGAGCTAGTATAAACCAATTTGATTTCTTTGTGCTCGCCTCTTGATTGTGAGGTAGAGGTTCTGCGTAGCTCGTCCCGCCACTTGACTGTCGTAGCTTTGGTATACACCAAAAGGAGTAGTGCAGGGATTAATTATATGTGGTTTGTAGTATGAGGTGTGTTAAAACTGTTACTACTGTGAATGGAGTTGATCCTTTCACCAGTTGGTCCCTCGGTATCGTCGTCAATAGAAAATAGATAATAATAATAGATATAATTAGTGAAAGTATTCAGACTGACAGACAGAAAAAGAATAAGAAAACTCAACTAACAGTCAGTCAACCAGTATATATATATATGTACCGGTAAAAATGATAATAATAATAATAAGTGTAGTTAAAGCTGTCAGGAGAGTAGGATATAAATGTTTTCATTCGAAACTATCAGCCCCTTTGAAAAATTTAGATAGCGTTTTCAGAAGACGAAGTTTTGTGAAAAATGGGATGTGTTCGCACAATACACCACAAACAACCGCATCACACACACTTACTTGTCAGTTCATTCTGTGCGGAAAATAAAGAAATAAAAGGTCGATTGAAGTAAACAAAATAATAAGGGATTCAAGAGTAAGAAGGATAATAGTAGTTAACATGGCTGTTGGCAAAACATTCAGATCCAATATCCAATATACTGATTACGAGCTAGTATAAACCAATGATTTCTTTGAGCTCGCTTCTTGATTCTAAGGTAAAGGTTCCAGATCTTCGGTGAACTTATGCGTAATAAATCCCGCCACTCGACTGCTTTAGCTCTGGTAGACTCCAAGAGAAGTGGTGTGGGGATTGGTCAAAATGTGGTTTGTAGTATGCAGTATGTTAGGACTGTGATGCTGCCGTGAATGGAGTTTGACCTAACACCCGTTGGTCATTCGGTATAGTCATAAAAGTAGAATAGTAATAATAATAGTAGTAGTAGGTTGTAGTGTAGATAATATAGGTTGAGATAAGTGAAATAATAAAGGTGAAATAATAAAGAAAGAAAGAAAAGATAGAGTAGTCGGTACAGTGGGAGAAGACAGGACGGGTCGTGGAGATTCAGCTTGTATACTCATCCATTGACAATGTGGTTTCAAATTTTAAGAGGGTAAGCCATTGAGACACAAACCATGCATTTCTGCATGATTGTCCAGCTTTCGCTTAAAAGTCTCCACAGATGGCGCTGTAGTTACGGCCGCCGGTAAAGCGTTCCAGAGACGGCAAACTCGAAGTGAAAAGAAATGTGAACGCACTCAAGTCTTTGGTCTCTGGTGTGCTATCCTTAGCGGGTTACCTCGTGTAAGCCTATAATCACTTAATGGCAGGATGCTTTTATTAGGGTGGGCCTGGTCATTTAAGATCTTATAGACGGTGATGAGGTCTCCCCTGTGACTACGGTAACTAAGTGTGAAAAGACTTAATTTCTTCAGTCTTTCCTCATATGATTTGTTGCGGAGGCCGATCACCCATTTTGTCGCTCGTCTCTGGACACTCTCTAGAATGTTAGCATCCCTTTTGAGTAGCGGAGGAGCAATGATATTATGCACCTCAAGGAGTGGCCGCACGTATGTCGTATACAACGTTAGGAATAGTTCAGGAGTAAGAGCTCCCAGCTGCCTATGCATAAAGTGTAAAGTTCCGTAGGCTTTGGCGACGTCCCTCGTGTAATTTACACTGGTGTCTAGCTTTTCTGTTAAAATAAGACCTAGGTCGCGTTCTGATGGCACCCAACTCAAGTTCTGGCCACCAAGGGTGCAATTTGCACTCTGTGACCTGCCGGAATGAAGTTGCACTACTTTGCACTTCTTTAGGTTGAAAGGCATTCCGTTAGCCAGAGCCCAGTCTCCCAGAGTTTGAAGGTCAGCCTGCAATATGTCGGAGTCTTCCGATGAGTTTATTGCTATTCAAATCTTTACGTCGTCAGCGTAAAGAAGCGCAGAGCAGTTCAGATGACAGGGCAGGTCGTTGATAAAAATCAAAAGATGGGAGAGAATGTACAGAAGTAAAACGACAAGTTTAATTGTCCACCCTTGAATGGTGTATGCGATTTTAAGGGGATGGGCCATTTGGATGCAGTCCTTGTGTCGCTGCATGGTTGTCCAGCCTTTGCTTAAAGGCGTCCACAGACGGTGCCATAGCTACATCTGCCAGTAAGGAATTCCAGGGACGGCAAACCCGGGGGATCAGAAGTGGGAGCGCACCAGGGTCCTTGCCCTCTGATGAGCTATCCTTCTAGGATGGTGAAATTATTTCGGGAATTCAGTTGTGCCTCACATCTACTATCTTTAAATTCCAAGGCAAAATATATAGACAAACTGAAGGTGTAGCAATGGGACCCCAATAACCCCTATCGTAGCATATATATTTACGGATAGCTGGGAAAATATGGCTCTTAACACGTTTAATCCTACCCCAAAAATATGGTGGAGATATGTGGATGACACTTTCACAGTGTTAAAAACAGAACTTATCTCTAGCTTCTTGACACACGTAAACTCACTAGTGGAGGAAATAAAATTCACATTCGAAGCCGAAAATGAGCAAAGAGAATTAGCTATGTTAGATTGTAAAATAAAACGAATAGCAGAAGGCAAACTACACACCAGAGTTTATAAAATGCCAACGCATTCTAATAGATATTTAGACTTTAATTCATCTCATCCATTAACTGTTAAGGCAGGCTTACTTAAGTGTTTAACAAACCGAGCAATGGCACAAAAAAGACCTAATGATGAAATAAAACAGATAGAAGAGGCGTTGGTGTTAAATAACTATCCTTTTAAATTCATTAGGAAGATTGAAAAAGGCCAAAAGAAAAATAAAAAGAATTGTGAAACTAGTAATAATAACATAAATAAGAGGGAATATAAGTCATCTACAGTTATACCATATAAAGAGGGGACATCTGAGACCCTACGTAGGATTCTAAATAAAGCAAGAATTAGGGTGGCATTTAAACCTACAAACTCACTCAGGTAGGACAAGCTCTGTAGGTTTAAGGACCCAGTTGACCCAATTAGACAAAATAATATAATTTACAGAATACCCTGCAATGACTGTGAGGTCAACTACATGGGTCAAACTAGTAGGTCAGGGGTAGTCAGATTGTCAGAACATAAGAATTTAGCTAAGGTAAGAATGGTTGACCCAGAGAAGATAAGTAATTTAGAAAAAGGCTCAGCACTGCATTGCAATGCATGCATTAGCACACAACCACACAATAGGGTGGGAGAGGGTTAAAATTCTTAAAAGTAATTTAGGTAGTTGGAGAGAGAGGTTGATTACTGAATCCTTGTTCATCGAATCTACACCCAACATATGTAATAGGAATGATTCATCACTCATACCCAAAATATGGAAGATATCACTACCAATCAAATCAAGTGAAAAATAATGGAACTATCTAAATGAATTTAGGAAGTCGTGTGATTACCTTGATATGATTATTAGCAATAAATTGTGCTCGAAACGTCATCAGTAAATATTACTGTGAAACACTGTGAGACTTTTTCAAAATAAAATGTACCCTTAATGGAATTACACTCTACCACAATGCACAAGTTTTATTCTTATATATGTGAGCATGATGTTGAAACTCCTCTTAACATAGGGTCGTCATTTCAAGCAGAGCTATTGGGTGCTGAACCATATTCGGGGCTGATTAACGAACTTAAATACTTCAAATGATATTTCAAATCTCATCTTTACCTAATCCTCATAAATGCTAGATCTGTTCTAAATAAACTACTGATGCTCATAGCACTCACAGCAATATGAGAACCCCCTATAATTGTCATCACTGAATCTTGGTGTAATTCGAACATACTGGATGAAGAGATAAGCTTAGATAACTACACACACTTTCAGTGTGACAGGGAAGGTGGTAAGGGAGGGGGTTGTCTCATGTATTTTCTGAATGCACTTACTGTATCACAGCTAGAAATTAGTACACCTAACCTGCCTAAAACTCTATGGGTTAACGTACATTTAAATAACGCAATAGCATTAATTGGATGCAACTACAGAGCACCCGGCACCTTCAGTAATTATGAGACCCAACTTATTGATTCTCTGGAGCAATTATCCACCTTACACTACGATCATAAGATCATATGTGGGGACTCTAACTTACCTGAAATCAACTCGGATATACCCACAGGCCCAACTAAATTTGATAATTTCTTAGGCACACTGGATATACTTGGCTGGAAAGTAACTGTTACCACCCCTACAAGAGATAATAACATACTAGACGTAATCTTCTGCCACAATATAAGTCCCCTACCGAACCCTGGTAGGTTCTGAGTTTCCAGGGAGCGACCACAAAACAGTGCTGTGTGCATTGCCACTTCCGCCAATTAGCAATGCAGCGCACACCCTTACTTTACAACAAATAACATACAGGAACTACAGTAAGGCAGACTGGACTCTAGTGAAATCAATGTTAAGATCCTCAGAATGGAGAGATTACCTCTATACTGATAACCTCTCGAAAGCTCTAGACATCTTTTACTATAACTCAAACACATGCTTAGACGCTGTGATGCTATTGCAAACAGTAAAAATCTCAAAACTTAAGAAGCGATTTATTCAACCAAAAGATCGTTCGAAACTGAAGAGACTGTCAACAAGTTACTTCAGACGACACGACTTTAGTACACTAGGGTCAATACTTAGTACTCTTAGCTCCATCGCGCAAGCTCATAACTTGCATATGAGAAATGAAGAATGCACGGCACTAGCCAGCACCACCAGAGTAGGTGCTCTCACAGATATCCTAAAGAAACGAATGAATCGCCAAAGCCGCAATATTTCTCTCCTTATAAACAAGGGTAAACTACACAGCAACCATGCAGACATGTGTGAATTGTTTAAAGAAACGTTTGCAGCTAACTATCTTAAGCCCATAAGCCCACTTCTCGGTTTACAATCTACAATGGAATTCCCTTCTTCGTCAGAGCTGAAACAAATCAGTACAGTTCATTTCACTTATTCTAATATTAACCAAGCAATTAACACTCTTAAAAGCTCTAGTAGTGCTGGTATTGACGGCATACTATCGTATCTTTATAAACACGGTGGTTCTGACATTTCCCTTTTATCACTTAAGATATTTACAATGTCCCTAGAAAGCCAAACCTATCCAGATAAATGGAAAACCACATTTATAGTACCCAAACATAGATGCGGATCGAAAACTGAAGTCAATAACTATAGGCCAATCAATATTACACTCATAGTTTCTAGAATCATTGAAAGAATAGTTATAGGTGATATTCTCAAACATATGCTCAGCTGTAATATTGCAAGTCCCAACCAACATGGATTTCGAAAACCAGATCATGCATGACCCGTCACCTTGACTTCTTTAAATACATAACCCGTAGCCGAGACAAACAACAACTAGTACTAGTCATCTACTTCGACATCTCCAAAGCCTTTGACCGCATTGACCATTTGCTTTTATTAAATAAGCTGACATCCTTAGGAATACGTAACCCATTATTAGGATGGCTTGAATCATTCCTTAACAATAGGTCCCAATTAGTTAGACTGGGGTCTGTTATCTCTAAACCTAGTCCAGTCACTTCTGGAGAAGCTCAAGGTAGTGTCTTAGGCCCCCTCCTATTCACTCTATATGTCAACGACGTATGCAGCTGTTTCTCACTTGGCAAACCATTCATCTTTGCAGATGATCTTAAAGTAGCTTACACATTCCACTGTGATGACATAGGGTACTTTCAGAATGCTGTTCAGGAAGAACTAGATAGAGTAACTGAATGGTCCTCCACATGGAACCTCAAATTCAACCTTGACAAATGTTGTTGGATCTGTTTCGGTGCACCCTCAATAAATATCAAACTGATAATTGAATTTATTGACTTGCATAAACTCCAAAGTGATGTTGACCTAGGACTCAGGTACTCTAGTGGCCTGACATTTTCTGAGCAAGTAGCAACGCAGACGCGTAAATCGAGGATGCTCTTAGGATGGATACTCAGGAAATTCCACAACTACGAAGTGAAATTTAAATTATATCGAACATGTGTCAGACCACCACTAGAATATTGTCCATTTATTTCCAGCAGCACTCACATAAGTGACAGGCTTAAAATAGAAAGTGTCCAACGATACTTTACGTCGAAACTTCTAGGATTTGACTGCGAAAAGGACTACACATCAAGGTGTATAACTGTAGGTATCGACCCACTCTGAATGAGATGACTCAGCATCAGTCTAACATTCTTCTTTAAAGTCTTGCATAAAATATCATTCTCAGACAGCAAGGAGATACAGTTCTTACCGGAAGGATCCTACAACCTGCGTAACCAAACGTGCACAGTATCTAGGAAAAGCTGTAAAACAGCACTCCGTGCAAACTTCTTCATAGTCATGTATTCTAAGATCTGGAACAGTTTACCCCTAGAAATAAAGACCTGTGAATCTATTATAACCTTCAAACGCTTGCTATAATAATATATATTTCACATAAATTAAGCACTTACATGATTGTTCTACCGTTTTTACAGGCATGATCATATTTGACAAGTGCAGTTTGGAATGAAACACTGTTTTATGACATTAAAAATTGAAAGGATGGAAAAAATTCTCTAGAAACTTTATTAGAACAGATTACGATATATTGGTTCAAGTACAAATTATAATCTATAATTTACTTATAGTCTGTCAAATTCATGCGGGAATTACGAAATGTTGCGTTAATGGAAGGTAGTGACCACCGTCTCACCTGCAGATAAGTGTGTACCTCTTATTTCTTATCAAATTCTATATCTCTTTTGTGTAAATACAATTCTGGTCCAGTTACACTTGCCATTTCGAGTCTTTTAACTTTGATCCGTTCGTTAGTACTTGCACGTTAGGCAGAGTACGATTAAGGCCATAAGCGGTGAAGAAGTTTTGTGAGAGTGATTATTGTTAGGTCGAAGTTAATACTAAGTCTAACTCTTACAAGTGGTGAGCTCGAGTTTTCACCGTTTGCCTGCTCAGTAGCCTAAAGTGTAAATAGTCCTTTTTCATATTGGCAATTTGTTTTTAACACGGAGTTATAAAATTTTACTTGCCTTGGTTTTACTCGTATTTTTTTGTTATCATATTTGTTATCATTTTATTAATATACCGTCCCGTGTGCAAAATGACTGACAGCAGTTCCGCCTCAGAAATGGTTATCACCTTGCAACTCCCCACCTTCTGGACTCATCATCCTGTTCCATGGTTCGACCACATCGAAGCTATGTTCGCCCTACGAAATATAGCGAGGAGTTCTTTGCCAAAAGTGCTATACCTCGCTTCAGCGGCGGACAACTTCCGAGAGAAAAAGGCAACTGGTATCCATGAAGTATGTACCAGTTGCTGTAGAACAGCTCCAATGGCTGTGTTAGATGCATCGACTGAGATGCTAAGCGGAAGATGGACGTCTAGGTGGACTAGCATGGTGGCGTCTGCAATTGCCGACTTAATATTCTCGAAGGCTTCTCGAGCCTCTGGTGTCATGCTGAACGTTTTGCTCTTGCTCTTTAGTAGGTTTTGTGTGCGTGTGGGAGTTGGTTGCAGGCGCTGCATAAGGCCCTTGAGGTTCTGAGCATAACAATGTACATCCGTAGCACTTGTCTCACCACTTTCAGGTGAGATGATTTCACCCGGTAGACGAAGGGTGGTACCAAACACCAACTCTGCGGAGGTGCACTGTAAGTCTGCTTTGAGCGTGGAACGGATGCTAAGTAGCACTAGGGGAAGGGACTCGGTCCACTTAGTATTCTCGGTAGCCATTAACGAAGCTTTCAGTTGGCGGTGAAAACGTTCTACAAGTCCATTTGCTGCTGGATGGTACGCGGTTGTTCGGATGCGTTTGCACCCCAGCAGCTCTAAGAGCTTCTTGAAGTGGGTTGATTCAAACTGCTGTCCACGGTCTGTAGTCACCGAAGATGGGCATCCGAATTGAGCTACCCAGCGTTCCATGAACACTCGGCAAACGGTTTCCGCGGTCGTATCAGCGATGGGAATAGCTTCTGGCCAACGAGTGAACCGGTCAACACATGTCAACAAGTAACAGTGGCCATTTGATGGTGGTAGAGGACCCACTATATCTAGATGTACGTGGCTAAAGCGAGCATCGGGTGTGGAGAAGGAACCCACTGGAGTGATGTTGTGTTTGTGGACTTTAGCTCGTTGACACGGCACACAGGCACGTGCCCAGATACGCACGTCGCGATTTATACCAGGCCAGACAAATCTAGCTGACACTAGTTTGTCCGTTGCCCGGATACCTAGGTGGGAAACGTTGTGGAGGCTATCGAATACCGTACGGCGCAATGAAGGTGGAACGATGGGTCTCGGGGTACCGGTGGACAGATCGCAGAGGATGGTACCCTCGCTATTAACAAGCGGTATACGCTTGATATGTAAGGAGGTATTTAACGAGAGCTTATCGAGATCTATCTCTGTAAGCTGACGTTGCGCCATTTGTTTCAGGTCAATGGTTGGTGGCGTCGACATGGTACATATCCTAGACAAGGCGTCTGCCACAACATTGTCAACCCCCGAAATATGTCTAATATCCGAAGTGAATTGAGAGATATAATCCAAGTGACGCAATTCGCGTGGGGAATATCTATCTGTAGTAGTGTGGATGGCATACGTCAGTGGCTTGTGATCGGTAAATACTGTGAATTTCCGACCTTCGACAAAGTGGCGAAAATGTTTGATAGCCGCGTATATGGCGAGGAGTTCTCTGCCGAAAGTGCTATACCTCGCTTCAGCGGCGGACAACTTCCGGGAGAAAAAGGCAACTGGTACCCATGAAGTATGTACCAGTTGCTGTAGAACAGCTCCAATGGCTGTATTGGATGCATCAACTGAGATGCTAAGCGGAAGATGGACGTCTAGGTGGACTAGCATGGTGGCGTCTGCAATTGCCGACTTAATATTCTCGAAGGCTTCTCGAGCCTCTGGTGTCATGCTGAACGTTTTGTTCCTACCCTTTAGTAGGTCTGTGAGTGGCAGTAAAATATGTGCACATTGGGGAACAAACCGTCGGTAATAACTCGCCATGCCGAGAAATGTGCGCAAAGATTTTATTGACGTAGGTTCCGGGAAGTCGCGTATTGCCTGCACCTTCTCAGGTAGCGGGCGAATTCCCTGTTCATTAATGACATGTCCCAGGAAGGTCAATGAATGGACGCCAATCTGACATTTGGACATGTTAAGTGTCAAACCATGGGTTGTTAACCGCTCGAAAACCATCTGTAGATGCGTACGGTGGCTAGCTTCGTCTGGGCTAGCCACGAGAATATCGTCGAGATAAGCATATGCGCAATCTAGTCCGCGCAAAACATCGTGAATAAATCGCTGGAATGTTTGTGCGGCGTTGCGGAGACCAAACGGCATTCGAAGAAATTCGAAAAGACCAAAAGGGGTGATCACTGCCGTTTTAGGAATATCGTCTAGATGAACTGGAATCTGATGATAGGCTCTGGTTAAGTCCAGTTTGCTGAATACCGTGGCACCCTTTAGTGACGACGTAAGGTCATGTATATGTGGTAAGGGGTAGCGATCTGGCACGGTCTGTGCGTTAAGCCTGCGGTAGTCACCACAAGGCCTCCAATCTATCCCATTATTCTTTAGTACCACATGTAAAGGGGAAAACCACTGGTAGCAGAGTGGTTTTCCCCTTTACATGTGGTACTAAAGAATAACGGGATAGATTGGAGGCCTTGTGGTGACTACCGCAGGCTTAACGCACAGACCGTGCCAGATCGCTACCCCTTACCACATATACATGACCTTACGTCGTCACTAAAGGGTGCCACGGTATTCAGCAAACTGGACTTAACCAGAGCCTATCATCAGATTCCAGTTCATCCAGACGATATTCCTAAAACGGCAGTGATCACCCCTTTTGGTCTTTTCGAATTTCTTCGAATGCCGTTTGGTCTCCGCAACGCCGCACAAACATTCCAGCGATTTATTCACGATGTTTTGCGCGGATTAGATTGCGCATATGCTTATCTCGACGATATTCTCGTGGCTAGCCCAGACGAAGCTAGCCACCGTACGCATCTACAGATGGTTTTCGAGCGGTTAACAACCCATGGTTTGACACTTAACATGTCCAAATGTCAGATTGGCGTCCATTCATTGACCTTCCTGGGACATGTCATTAATGAACAGGGAATTCGCCCGCTACCTGAGAAGGTGCAGGCAATACGCGACTTCCCGGAACCTACGTCAATAAAATCTTTGCGCACATTTCTCGGCATGGCGAGTTATTACCGACGGTTTGTTCCCCAATGTGCACATATTTTACTGCCACTCACAGACCTACTAAAGGGTAGGAACAAAACGTTCAGCATGACACCAGAGGCTCGAGAAGCCTTCGAGAATATTAAGTCGGCAATTGCAGACGCCACCATGCTAGTCCACCTAGACGTCCATCTTCCGCTTAGCATCTCAGTTGATGCATCCAATACAGCCATTGGAGCTGTTCTACAGCAACTGGTACATACTTCATGGGTACCAGTTGCCTTTTTCTCCCGGAAGTTGTCCGCCGCTGAAGCGAGGTATAGCACTTTCGGCAGAGAACTCCTCGCCATATACGCGGCTATCAAACATTTTCGCCACTTTGTCGAAGGTCGGAAATTCACAGTATTTACCGATCACAAGCCACTGACGTATGCCATCCACACTACTACAGATAGATATTCCCCACGCGAATTGCGTCACTTGGATTATATCTCTCAATTCACTTCGGATATTAGACATATTTCGGGGGTTGACAATGTTGTGGCAGACGCCTTGTCTAGGATATGTACCATGTCGACGCCACCAACCATTGACCTGAAACAAATGGCGCAACGTCAGCTTACAGAGATAGATCTCGATAAGCTCTCGTTAAATACCTCCTTACATATCAAGCGTATACCGCTTGTTAATAGCGAGGGTACCATCCTCTGCGATCTGTCCACCGGTACCCCGAGACCCATCGTTCCACCTTCATTGCGCCGTACGGTATTCGATAGCCTCCACAACGTTTCCCACCTAGGTATCCGGGCAACGGACAAACTAGTGTCAGCTAGATTTGTCTGGCCTGGTATAAATCGCGACGTGCGTATCTGGGCACGTGCCTGTGTGCCGTGTCAACGAGCTAAAGTCCACAAACACAACATCACTCCAGTGGGTTCCTTCTCCACACCCGATGCTCGCTTTAGCCACGTACATCTAGATATAGTGGGTCCTCTACCACCATCAAATGGCCACTGTTACTTGTTGACATGTGTCGACCGGTTCACTCGTTGGCCAGAAGCTATTCCCATCGCTGATACGACCGCGGAAACCGTTTGCCGAGTGTTCATGGAACGCTGGGTAGCTCAATTCGGATGCCCATCTTCGGTGACTACAGACCGTGGACAGCAGTTTGAATCAACCCACTTCAAGAAGCTCTTAGAGCTGCTGGGGTGCAAACGCATCCGAACAACCGCGTACCATCCAGCAGCAAATGGACTTGTAGAACGTTTTCA